TCTCCCTCACTCTGTTACGTGAAAAATGAGAGTCTTGGAACTGTTCGCATTCCAGCCTTTTTGTGTATTTGAGGAATTTTAGTGAAAGGACGAAAATGCCCTTCATTAAAATGGTCAATATATCTCCTTTTTTTATTTTTCAGGTTGACTAACGGCGATTTGGATGGAATCCGTCCAGATGGACCTCCGCCGCATATTTATTAAAGGTTTGGGACCTCCGCCGGCACAAATCAAAGGTTATGGCAAAATGCGCAAAAATTTGAAAGTGTTGGGACCTTTGCTGCAATTATCCCTATTTATTATTTCGATAATTTAACCAAGGTAGGATTTACCTAAAATAATTGAATTGCGACTTAATTATTCATTTACGTATAAATCGATAGTCTTCACTATGATGAAATTTTTTACACTCAAATGAGGACAAATGTCTAACAATTCACGTTTTATCGAATATTTAAGGTTGTAGGGTCCATTTTTTTTCTGAAAAAATTGAATAGACATTTAATTGCTCATTTTCGTATAAATCAAATAGTCTTCAATATAATGACAATTTTTTTACACTCAAATGAGGACAAAATGTCTCTAACAATTCACGTTTTATTGAATATTTAAGGTTGTAGGGTCCATTTTTTCTGAAGAAATTGAATAGACATTTAATTACTCATTTTCGAATGAATTGTTAACTGTGTTTATGGTGGACAAAATATCTATCCAGACCCATAAGAAGGGTCATTTTTTCCAATGGCAAATCGAAATCAAACTTTTTGTTACTCATTTTCATCATATGATTTGCAATCTTATACAAATTATTTTATAATGAACTTTTGCTTAACTTATTTCTGGTTCTGCCCAGAATTATCTCTGGACTCTGGCTGGCCTCTTTCCACACGCAAAAACTCACACGCGCATACACGTTAGCCAACATTGGATACACACACTTGACTCTCACTGCTATCTCCGCGGATTTTGCAAAACCAATCAACAAATCTTTTTCACTCTCTCTCTATCTTCTCTTTCTCTCTAGTATTCAAACCGTGTTCAATTTTATCTGTGCATATCTTCTTCTTCCTTTGGGATTTTACCCAATTTTTTGGTGTTGCGAGGTGAACGTTTTTGGGTCACAAAATTGAGAATCCCTCTGTTGAGTTTTCAAATTTCCTGATCTGGGCTCTTTAAAATCCCATTCAAGATTACATTTTTTGCGATAAAGATCACTTTTTTAGCTTTTATTCAAGTTCTTTTTGAAATATTTGCATTGAAAATTCATATTGGGGCTTTGTTGTTTTGGAGTTCTGGTTCATCACTTGGTGTTTAAGCAGATTCGTTATCTCATGGTTTCTTGGTGAGTTTCATTCTTTTTCATTTTTCTTAATTATTTGGTTTTGTAGTTTTTGTACTGTTATTTGGAAAAAATGAATTTATTGAAAACCTTATAGCTATTTGTAGTTTAATTACTCCGTCACTGTGGATCTAATATTTCTAATTGTTCTATCTGCTTCATTGTTTCCGAAATTTGTTGAAGAATAATGTTTCATTGTCAAATTTATAGTTGGTTATACTACTGAAGTCCAGGTTCAGTTAATATTATGTTATTTCTGTGCATGTGTGTTTCTCTGTTGTAAATTACGTGTAACAAATGAGAGCAACTGGTTTTCGATGCGGACGAGTTTGTAGGCCAATTAGGATGGAGAGGTGAAAATTGTGTTAAGGATTCTGATGTTGGTAGACGTTAGAGTCTTGTGTTGTTATGTGGGATAACTAAAATTGGTTCTTCACATTAATCCAATGATTTGAAAAGATGTTACAGGTGATGAACCACCTCATCTAAACCTTTAAGACATTAAGGGAAATATTTATCTTCTACGTGCCCTCTCATATTATCTTACCAATAAGTTTTTTAGGAGTATGTGCTTTGATACCATATTGAACCACCACATATGAAAGCTTAAGTCATTAGACGAGGTGATTCAACATTAGGCATCTTTATGTCAGAGCACGTAAATTCATGAGAGGCTGTTTAGAATTTTCGGAGCTGAAAATTTTTGCAACACATTAACTATCCTTTCTTTGTGCAATGTTGTATTGTAGTGTTTAAAATATGATAATATTCCTTATTGTCATTCACATTGATTATTTCAGTTGTGAAGTCCTTATTGATTATACATACACTAACGAAATTCATATATAACGTTTTTATGGATACTTCGTTTCACAGAAATATTCGTTGCTTACGTGATTTATCTGGGGTTTAAGAATATGGGCCGGGGTAGAGCGAAGGGGAAGAAACTATCTGTAACTAACCAGGATGATCCTGGGAGCGGTGAGGAAGAGAAAATTCCGGCACAGAAGAGAAGGGGAAGGCCACAGAAATCACTCAAAGACGAGATGGACGAGGACAAAACACAGAAAATAGGAAATGAAGATAGTGAGGACACAACTGGTGTACTGAACAAAGAAATGAGAGGTTCAAATGCGGCACAGAATGGGAATAAAAGAATAAGGAACGGCCAATCGAAGGAGAAAGCTGATTCAGTTGAAGATGATGATGAAAATGGGACTAGATCAAGCACCGAGGACTCGAACAAATCAAATGGCTTTCGTCAAGCTCGTAATAGGCGAAAAAATAAACCCTGTCGAGCTGCTGAAGTAGGTGTGGATTCGATCATGTTTTAGCTGCTGGAATTGAGACTTAGCACATCTCTACCTTTGTTCTTTCTTTTTCCGCTTCTCATTTTTGGTTCTTTATCAAAAATTTGTCTTTATTTTGAAAGATTTTCGGATTATCATACTCTCGGGATCTTTAATGTTTCAATGACATATGCGAGGCATTAGTTACATTTGATAGCAATGTTAATATTCTGATGTTCAAATGATTGGCTTTTCTTTTCTTCTTGGTGATTCTATTAAGATCATGCACCCTTCAATCTCTTTGGGGGAATTTTGCTGTAAAAATTTCAGTTCATCTAATTTTTTGTTGGACTATGGGGAGCCTAATCAAACTCTTCACTTATATTATTGCCTGAGGATTGATTTGGTATTCTTACCATATATAAAAGAATTTAGGGGGACCCCCCCCCTTTGTGACAATTGTGTTAGATCGTTAGCAAACTTCGTTTTCATATCGAGGGGGAATTGTTACAAATTTGTGTATGCTTTTGTGTTTCTGATTTATTGTGCGTATTATTACTCTAGATTTAGCAGTTTATACGTATCATTCTATTTCAATGAAAATAGTCTTTCGTTTTTTGTGAAAAAGGTTTGGAATATCCCCTTCCACGATTATCACTATGAAAGAGGGGAGCTGGACTAGAGGTTGCTACAAAGAAAGAATTTATTTTTGTCCCTTTTTCTATGAAAGTTAATTATCCATCTAATCGAATAGTGATTGAATACGTGAGCACTTCAAGATTCTCGTGAGTCTGTCGTGTATAAAGCAACTTCCGCCCCGTTCCACATCGTATATAAAGCAACTTCCGCCCCTTTCCACAACTATTAATTTTATGGCTTAATCACCAAGGCGTGGTAAGAATTTGAATGTCCAGATTACTCAATACGAACAGAGAGGCTGTTGCTTCAATATTATAATGCCAGGCAAGTTGCCCATTCTGTTCATTAAAGGTCAAAAATAGATTAGTTTTGGGTAGGTTCAATTCACTTTATTTAGTTATGCTGCATTAAAGATAACGTGCTTTTAGCTTAAAACCACAAGTACCACTCTGTTCTTATTTGGGGTGGACGGAAATTGGCTGTTGAGCGCAAATGAAACGAATATAAGATTCAATTGTTGAGTGGGCACGAAAGTCAACCTTGGTGAGCTGACATTACTAAGTGGAAAGTTGACAACAAATAATTCTCATATTATTTGAGTTTGATTACATGAATTATTTCGTAAAGTTATTAGAACAAAATCAAGAAAATAACAGAACGAAAAGGAGATGTGAGTGCTCATATACATGCGAAGAGACTGTTGAGATTGGCGTGTGAATTATGGTAGGTTCACATGAGATTCGACTAAGCAATTGATATCCCCCTTTTTGAGGATTTCAAGTCGTTCACTAGACTATAGCAGAATGCCAATGTTAGCCATATGATCCAACAGACGAGTGCTTGGTATCTTGCCATTTCTTGCTCTAATCACTCGGGCTCTCTCATCTTACAAATTGATAGAAGCATAACATGTGAGAGCTAAGTAACATGAGATGACACTTGACGTTGACTATTTGATTTGACATGTCGCCTACTACTTCAAGACCATTCCAGTCCAAGGTAGGTTAAAAACAAACACTCACCATTTTATCTTTTCAACTTAATTCTGTACGGTTCAAACTCGACCATTGGATTGAGAATGGCCATCCCGTCACAGGACTTGTGAGGTGGACGGACTCACTAACCAGATCTGGTTTTGTAGGTTATCATGGTACATTTTTTACATTTCTAGGGCATAAACAAGGTCATGCTGATTGCAGATAAAATACGTGCTTTTAGAATAAATACCAATCGTAAAGGATAAGATGACCCAGAAAACATTGGATCATATCAGGATCAACTTTGTAAGCCAACTTGGGTATTGAGTATTTACTTAGAATTGAAACAATATAGTTTAAAGTAGGAATCCCTTAAGTTGATCCATAAAATCTATGGAAAGTGTTTAACAGTTGTAACTTCAATTCTATCGTTTTGTTTTCAACTTCATACTGCAACCAGTCGTTTGATGTTATGTTCACATAAACCATTCTTACGTCAAATGGAAATGCTTTTAGGCACACCCTTCCCGGTTACACCAGGTTCGGAAAATGGCTTCAAAAGCTGATAGGGAACTACTCCAGCACCAGATCCGTTCTTCAGATTTTCATCTGCATTAATAATTCCTTCAGTCTTTTTCAGTTTCCTACTAAAATGCTCGAATACATAATTGATATACCTATCTTCTTTCTAATATGGTTGGATATTGTCCCCGAGATACTCCTCATCGGGTGAATGGGTGGATAAAACATCTAAAATAGCCATAACACTCGTTGCTTGAACTTGTGATGGGAAACACGCAAGGAGAAACTTCTCAGGGCAGATTGTAAATTGTTCCTTTTCTGTGTCGTTAGGATCTTGGGTAGGCATGTTTGTTCTAGCAGTGGTAGGACGGTTTGGAAAATATCCTGCAAAATCAT